TAACATAACAGCAAATGTACAACGTTTCGACAAGGTTTTGTCATCATCAGGTACATGTTATGTTAAACTTATATAAAGTTTTTCTTCATTACCCATTCAAGCCGTCTCCAACCATTATGTTCTGTATTTGCAAAATACTACGTTGTAGACACTTGTAGAGAACTCCATTCCAGGATTTCAGAACATGTTCTGTATTTGCTAAATACTACATTATTGACACTTGTAGAGAACTTCATTCCAGGATTTCAGAACATGTTCTGTATTTGTTAAATATTACATTGTAGAGACTAATAGAGAACTTCACTCTAGGATTTCAGTACATGTTCTGTATTTGCTAAATACTACATTATTGACACTTGTAGATAATACCATTCTAGGATTTCAGAACATGTTCTGTATTTGTTAAATATTACATTGTAGACACTTGTATAGAACTTCATTCCAGGATTTCAGAACATGTTCTGTATTTGCTAAATACTACATTGTTGACACTTGTAGATAATTCCATTCCAGGATTTCAGAACATGTTCTGTATTTGTTAAATATTACATTGTAGACACTTGTATAGAACTTCACTCAAGATTTCAGTACATGTTTTATCTATGTTAGGTTTTAGTTGTTCATGTATGTTTGATTCTGTTCGTTGTTAATGCATATGATACCTGCTTCACATTCGTCATTACGATATTCTTCATAACTATATAATTTCGGTAGAGAACTTCTGATATTGGTTCCTCGTATAGTAACTGAAAAACACGTATTCTTGTTCGTCTGTGGTGTTTTGATCAGTTCTCTTATTGTCTTTGTTTTCGTCCATTTTCTTATTGTGTCACCATTGGAAGGTACTAATGATTTGTTTTAAAACATTCTTTTATCTTTTGATTTTTGTTTTCCACATTTTTATTGGTGCTTAGTCTCAGTGCTGTTATTATACAACCCTTTAGTCTCGAATCTATACTAGAGAGCATAACACATCTTTATATTATATATTACTGCCAGTGATAAGTTCACTATATAAAACAATTAAGAGATTATCAGAATTTGTAAGATTATAGTCATGACGAGGCAAACCACTATTATATAATAATCTCAATAACTATCTCAGATCGTTGTTATGCAAATAGGGAATCTGATGATGTAATTTGAAATATAAGTTACTGGACATCTTGTTCTATACATAATGGTCTCACACGACCTTGATTCGGTTGTCACTTTCAAATATATCTCGCAATTCTTCATGTACCAAGATAGGCTTCCAGAAAGACATCTGGATGTTTCATTATTATGGAGACCTGTAGTACAGATGAGAACCAACTAACCAGAGTAGGCCATTGTGACTAAGCTTAAATAGCTCAAGTATCGTTAGTAAAATGTAGAACCGTTTCCAAACATATTGTTCAATTGTTTGGACACTGGACAAGACAGACCATTTTATACGACACAAGAATAGGTTTGCTATCTGGCGATTATATGTTACCACAATTATAGAGTACCTGTTCTGAGATTGAACCAGAAGTAAGCAGCTACATATGAACGCATGTCAGTGTAAAGACAGTTAGTTTTTTTTTAGATATTCGCGCACAGCTATCCAAGAGCTATCTATATTAACTGTACCTAATTTGAACTGATATAGTAGGGCATACCTGGACACAGGAGATTAAAAAACAGACTCCATAAGGTCATCCCATATGTCAAATGCACAATGATATGCACTGTGCTCATAGTAAGGTCCGAAACTGAGAACCAGGTCTTTCCCTGATTCCATAGAAGAATGTGACACACCTGCCAGTAATGGACGTATCACCTTCTGCATCCTGCAGAAGGATGTCATTAACAAGTTACAGAGATCACATCTCTTGGTCTTTTGTTATTCTACATGTTGGCGCAATTAGCCCTGACTTTAACCTACTGTGGTGAATCCCACCCTTACCATGTAAGGTGGTCGAGACATTCTTTGGAGAAGACAGGATTGACCAAAATAGAATGGCCTGCAAACCCACTGAGCTTCAGGATCATCAGGTATACATGAGACTCTCTTGGGATATGAGTCGTATTCCATGAATATGATCTGGACTATGCATGTACAGGACTCTCTTGGGAGATGTGTTGTATCCCATGAAGTAATTCTAAACACTTAATATGATCTTGAATATGCATGTACAGGACTCTCTTGGGAGATGTGTTGTATCCCATGAAGTAATTCTAAACACTGAATATGATCTGGACTATGCATGTACAGGACTCTCTTGGGAGATGTGTTGTATCCCATGAAGTAATTCTAAACACTGAATATGATCTGGACTATGCATGTACAGGACTCACTTGGGAGATGTGTCGTATCCCATGAAGTGATTCTCGATACTGGAGATGACATAGAAGTAGGTCTTTTAGAGAAATGGTCGAAGATACTTGAGGACTTTATAAAATTTCAAATTTTAAGAATGCAACATTAGTTCCATGCTGTTATTGGTGACCGGACTCACCACAGTAAAGTGAAATGTTATGAACTGTAGAGATATAAAGCTACCTCTAACAAATATGAGGTTAATGATCAGTCATTTGTATTTCAGATCACAGGGTGGATCATCAGGTATCCAATTTACACATAAATGAACTAGTGGTAGGTTGGTGGGATGTTGTCATTATTTTATAACAGCCTTTGAACTGAAACTACCTTTTCAAAGTATTGTGTAATGAAAACAATTATATCAACGAAATTTATTTATCTTGCATCGTATGTCATTTCTTTCAATATAGGGGCTAAAGACAGACGAGAAATGCGTTATTCAGATTCTCTGTTCCACTAGTGAAATGGTAAGTTTCCAGTTATTCCACTAATGAAATGATAAGTTTTCAACTGTCTCTTCAGTGAAATGGCATGCTTTAAATTATTCCTCTCGTGAAATGCTAAGTTTCCATCGTCCCTTCCGTGAAATGGTAAGTTTCTAATTGTTCCTTCAGTGAAATGGTAAGTTCCCAATTGTTCCTTTAGTGAAATGGTAAATTCCCAATTGTTCCTCTAGTGAAATGGTAAATTCCCAATTGTTCCTCTAGTGAAATGGTAAGTTTCTAATTGTTCCTTCAGTGAAATGACAAGTTTACATCGTCCCTTCCCTGAAATGGTAACTTCCCAATTGTTCCTTTAGAGAAATGGCACGTTTCTCATTGTTTCTTCAGTAAAATGGTAAGTATCTATTGTTCCTCTAGTGAAATGGTAAGTTTCTAATTGTTCCTTCAGTAAAATGGCAAGTTTCTATTGTTCTTCTTGTGAAATGGTAAGTTTCTATTGTTCCTCTTGTGAAATGGCAAGTTTCTAATTGTTTCTTTAGTAAAATGGCAAGTTTCTATTGTTCCTCTTGTGAAATGGTAAGTTTCTAATTGTTTCTTCAGTAAAATGGCAAGTTTCTAATTGTTTCTTCAGTAAAATGGCAAGTTTCTATTGTTCCTCTTGTGAAATGGTAAGTTTCTAATTGTTTCTTCAGTAAAATGGCAAGTTTCTGAATTGTTTCTTCAGTAAAATGGCAAGTTTCTAATTGTTCCTCTAGCGAAATTATGTGTTTCCAATTGTTTTTTCTAGTTAGATTATAGGCTTCCATTTAATCTTCCAGTGAAATAGTACGTTTCTAAGCTTCACGTAAACAACCAATTTTCTTATCATCTTGTGATACAAGTTAACAATGATTAACTTCATGTTACATAGCTGTTTATTTGTTTCACATGTTCGAGCAACGTAACACAAAGGTTACATGCATCACTGTCCCTAATTTTTAACTGATAGACTAGAAAAGGGCAGCTAGCCAACACCAATCATCGCGAACTCTTTTATGGAGCGCGTTTTTACTGCAAGAAGACACGAACTTGAATCCTTGGATTCACAGTCTGGCATAAGAAGAAACTCTTGTTAAAAATTTTAACTCTTTCTTTATTTTCTGAGTAGAAGTCGTTATGTAATTTTCAAAGATTTTCCAATCCGGAGTAAATTACTTTATTAACACGCTATTTTTTTAAATTTGGGTGTACCACTATAGAGCAGTTGGACCCAATTATTCACTACATGAGAAAATATTTACTTCAGATGATAGCTGTAAAGCCAAGGGCCTGACCTAAGAATACAACTTTTAAAAAATACAGTTTCGATTACTTTTGCAAAATCTGACAATGAATTAGGCTTTCTATTAAGGACCATTAATAATAAGAATCCTTTTTTACTCCATAAACTTGTTAAATATTTGCAAAAACTAATGGACAGTTAGGAACATATAAGTTAGGAATAATGGTGTTGTTTCCTCGTTAGTTCATAGCAAAGAAATAATTCTAAATTAGGAAACAATATTTTATTTCACCAAACACACGTAGAAAGAAGCTATAATTTCACCCATTCCACACACACGTAAAAAGAAGCGATACTTTCACCCATTCCACACACACACGTAGAAAGAAGCGATACTTTCACCCATTCCACACACACACGTAGAAAGAAGCGATACTTTCACCCATTCCAAACACACGTAGAAAGAAGCGAT